AGTTCTGAAAGTATAATACCATTGACTATTGCGTCCATGTTTTCACCTAGATGAATGAGTTGATCATGTCGTTTTGCGTATCGCTTAATTTTTTCCTTTTGTTGTAAATAATTGTCTTGATCAGTTAAATTTTCAATACTGGCCTCAAGGATTTCGAATTGACCACAGATGTGTAGGGCAGCACTGAACATAAATGCGTCACATCCTGCATATGTAAATGCAGTGCAGCACATAGCGATGAAGATTAAATAATAATAAAACAAGTACAAGTTAATGGGCATTGTTATTGGTGTCCAGCATGAAGGTCCCATCAATATACTTCTCATTAAGTCACTACCATTTTCGGGAATTGTTGTGATCAGGGTTGGAGGTTTAGCTAGCATAGTTATCACCATTACCACAAATGTACCACTTATTTGCAAGATAAATGCTAAGCGTCCCCAATATGCATATCGGTACATAATTTCATGGGATTTTGATTTACTAATACTCAACCAATCATCCATCATCGTCGAAAGTAAATGACGCATATGTTGTTGTTGAAACCAAGGAACAAAAATTTTGATAGCTGTTCCAGAAAATGCTGTGATTCCAGATAACGAATCCACCAATTCGGTCATTAACCCACAGTTACCTTTTGTTAGCAACTGTTGTAATAACAATAGCGCTGCGGCGACCTTAATCAAATTTTGTATTATATCCGCTGTACCCTAAATACATTCTTGTCCAAATGAAAAGGTCCCTCGTCAGCGAGAGTTGGCTACATATTGACAGATTTCTAGGGGAACTCCAGAAATTTTTAGATCAAATAGAACTCTACAAGTTTAAAATTCGCGGAGTTATGAAGCTTCAAAATTGGAAATTTGGAAACCAACGATTTGAGAAAATTCAGATTAAAATTAGACAATGAACATATTATTATTCAAACAAATTATTGAAATTTAAATTTAAACTGCAATTTAAACTGGGTATAATGATGATGCATCAAATCGAGTGGATAATTTTTTATATCCGGAAT